TGCTTTCTTCTTCGACTTACGACCAATGAGAGAAATCGAAGTGGGGCTCGCACGTGCCGATTTATGACCTCCCGCACGTGCCAACCGACGCTTTCTTTATTCTCTGTAAACTACGATAGAAACCCAATTATTATTATGCCAGCTAAGACCCTTAGCTACATCGAAAATTTGTCTATGGGCCCATTTTAAAGGCCCATTATACTAAATTGACAGGCCATATGTTATAAGCCCACTGATCTGATTAAACCGGACTAAACCGGTTAAGATTTAATTAGTAGCTCGACCTTGCATTTTATCGGAGAAGACAAAATGGCTGCGACGGTGGCGATTGCCCTGAAACCGCCGGCGAGCTTTTTCCGTGGCGGAAACCGTCGCGACGGAGAAAATGGATTTTCAGTCGCGCGAGTTTCTAAAGGCGAACGGTTCACTGAGAGCATCGTTCGTCTCTCTGCTTCGACTGTGTTGTTTCTCGGTTTAACACTACGCGTCTGCTCTCCGGCCTCCGCTAGATTACCACCGCCGATTATCGCTACTCATTCCGTTACGGAGAATAAAATCGATTCAGGAACTGTATCTGGTGCTGGTAATTGAAAATGTTTCGTTACTCTTTGGATTTCGATTAAACCATAGATTTGAATTTGTGGATTTTTTTTCGTAGCTGAGGAGAATCATGGAATTGTAAATGAAGAAGATGAAAAATTGGAAGCAGATTTCGAAGCTTATAAGGCTAAAGTGTATTCTCTAACTGTGCCGCTTAAACTCGTTGCTCTTCGTGGTTCAGTACCACCATCATGGATCAAGGTTTTAGTTTCAATATTGAGCATTTTCTGTCATTGTTATGCATCTTAGTTTATAGTTTTGAAATGTCTGTTGTTGGATTGGCTGGATTGAAATTTAAGGATTTCATGAGCTCACAAGGGAAGAGAGTGAGGTTAAAAACAAGGTTCCGAGCAAATCTTGAAGAAATTTTCTTCGATCTATCGACGTCTAGTAGAAAAGCGAAAAAGGGGTCTGCTTTGGAAGCTGATATGATCAGCATTGGTGATTCTTGGCTTAGTTTCGCAATTAAGGAAAAGCTGATAGAGCCGATGAAAGGGGTCGAAGATCAAGACTGGTATAAAAGCTTGAGTGATAAATGGAAGGTGAGAAACTAAATCAGTGGTTTAACACTATCAGTCTTTGTCAAAGAATTTCTGTGGTACCTATTGATGAAATAGAATGATTTCGTTGTTCCGCATATAAACCTTTGGCAACCTTGTTAGGTCTCTACATTAATGTGGTGACACATACACTTTCTTGAGAGATTTTATAGGCTTGTACGTTGTAAACTTGGAATGCTCGTAGGGCTCCTTTCGTGACTTAGAAAGTCTCAGATTTATCTCCGCAGGAACTTGGCAGGAGAAAATGCTCCTGACGGTGAAACGTGGGCTGTGCCATACCGCTGGGGAAGCATGGTAATAGCATATAAAAAGAGCAAATTTCAGCAGTATAAATTGGCTCCAATAGAGGTTGGTTCACTTTATTGGTGGTTTGCTCATCGACTAAGTTGAAATGCTGTCAAAATGTTTGCCTATTTAAAAAAGAAATGGATATCATCAGTGAACATTTTTACGGACTTAGGACTGGGCTGATCTCTGGCGACCCGAGCTTGCAGGGAGGATCTCAATGGTGAATTCTCCTAGAGAGGTTGTTGGTGCTGTTCTCAAATACATGGGAGCATCATACAACACAACAGACCTCGATTCACAAGTTGCTGGTGGAAGAATCGCTGTGGAGAAAAATCTAGCATCGCTTATGAAACAGGTTTTTGCTGGTTTTTA